GGCTGCTCGCTAGCACGGGGGGGAAAAAAATAGCCTTAATCTCTTTCTGCCTTTAGTTTCCCTATGTATAAACCGAGGATGAAACGCTTTTAAATCCTCTGAAGGACAGTGCACATTCTTCCGGGGCGTTATTTTGCTGCAGAAGGCAGGCAGCAGGGAGCAATCCAGTGGAAGGGCTGGGGCAACTCCCGTTTCTTTGCGGATGCACCTCGGGACAATGTTCCTGCAGCCAAAATAACCGACTCGGGTGGACCCGATGGGTTGCTCACCGCTATGAATCGCGGCCTGATTGCTGAGGGCAAAGAGCACGTTGTGCAGACGGGGGACAGCAAGTCTTTATCAGACTGAGCCGGAGGTAATCACCTGGGCTCTGCGAGGCTGTTTTTATCAGGGCTTTTTCGGTTTGATTCACTCAGGGTTCACTATTTCAGCAAGTCTATTTTAAGACTCCCATGGCGTGTGGGAGTGGGGATGGCACGGAGGGAAGGCCTGATGCTGCGAGGTGCTGGCTGCACCCGGCCCCACGCTGGGCCCTGCTTTTGCCATCGCCATCTGGGGATTTCAGGAAGCAGAGCAGTCCCCAGGACCGCGCCAGTGACCCAACCGCCAGCACGGGCAAGGCGAGGGGCCTTCCTCAGGTGCATGAATCCACCCCACGAGCGCTCAGGCAGCCTGTGAATCATTGCATCTCCAGAAAACCCAGAAAAGATTCAGCCGACCTAAGAATAAAAACAAGCTCTGCAGTCCAAGTGGCTAGGATAAAGTTACAGAGCGTGCCCATCGCCCAGCTGCAGGATGGGAAGGGATTATAAACCCCGGGCAGGAAGGCAGCCCCCGGCAGAGCAGATTAGCACCGTGCGTTTCGGTGCACGATGCAAGCGCTCTGCTCTGGAGCGCCGCTCGTGTTTTCCTGGCCAGGCTGGTTACTTACGGCCTCTGCTTTCCAACACAGGCGTCCTCAGACCTCGGCACGCTTTGCAGCCGCGTTACGGCGAGGTTTTTTTTCGGTTCAGCCCACTAACTACCAGTTAAGTAACTCCAGCAAGTGCCCACGCAAACGCAGGAGTTCAAACAGGGGCACGTTTCCGAGGATAATAACCAAATGGATCTCTCCCCAGGAGGCCTTTATTTCTATATAACCGCTCCCTTCTGCTACTCGCCGGATGAAAGGCGCTATGTATATAAATAAATGCATTGTAATATACCATTCGCTTTGATCACTGTCGGCAGCAGACGACCGGAATAGACGGGATCTGCGTCTGCTCTCGGATAGCACCCCCGCCCCGTCCCCCTGCTCGCTTCCCTTTCAAAGTAGGGTGTGGATCTAATGGGCAGTTCCTAGAAGGATCGCTCCCTGTGCTGCGACGCCTTGGCTGGGCTCGGATATTTCCGAGCTGCAGCTGAAAAGCATGCCTGGGATCTGACCGAGATTTTTTTTTTTTTTTTCCTCCCGCAACGTGACGTTACAGTCTTTGTAATGGAGACGCCCGGGGTGGGGAATTGGGATCCAGATCTGCACGCTGCTGTTCTGAGTCCAAATCCTCCCAATGAGAAAGCGTTCAGCGGGGGGGCTTGATGCTGAAATTGAGCTGCAGGATGCCATGCCATGAAAACCCTCTCTGCTTTTGTCTCCTCTTCCCAGGGACGTACCAGGGCCAGTGGGTCGGAGGCATGCGCCAGGGCTACGGCGTCCGTCAGAGCGTACCCTACGGCATGGCGGCGGTTATCAGGTCACCTCTGAGGACGTCCATCAACTCCCTGCGCAGTGAGCACACCAACGGCACGGCGCTGCACCCCGACTCCTCGCCGGCGGTGGCCGGCAGCCCCGCCGTGTCCCGGGGCGGCTTCGTCCTCATGGCCCACAGCGCTGCCGCGAACATCCAACGCAA